TATATATATATATATATATATATATATACATAAATATATGTATATATGTATACATATGTTGAAAAATATTGAAAAATTTCTGAAGCAAAGCAGTAACTAACCCCGCGATATAAATGTGGGTTTAGAGATGTAATAAAATCCTGTGAGAAATTTTTATGGTATTAGAAAACATCGTACCAATATTGGTGACGTTGTTCAGCCGATATGCTTTAAAAATATCGAAGAACAATAATCGTTGTACGTCGATTGTTTAACATATTAACCGAAAATTCGTGCTGTTTAAATTTCATTTAACTTTTTTTTTCTTAATGTAAGATTTCAACAATATATTCAGAGAAGATGATTGGTTTCATTGAAAGTCCTGTTTGTTCGTGAAGAAATTATACTCTACCTTTGAATTATTATGTTTTTAAAAATAAATAATCGTCGATTTATTAACGAAGTTTGATTAGCGAAGATTGGAAGTAATACACGATCGATTCGTGCGATCGCTACGTTTGTCATTTTCAAGATATATAATTTCGAAGCATATCAAGTTAAAAAATAGAGTAAGAAAGCCGCTGAAAATCGTGGCTATGCAAACTATCAAAGAGCTTTCTCGCGAGTGGTGCACCGTGAATGAAAATCGGCTTTAAAAAAGGGACCTTATTCGCAAAGATGAGATCGATTGGTATGCGAGATATAATATTCGATATGAAAGAAATGAGAGTGAAAGAAAGAGAGAGAAAGAGAAAGAAGAAAAAGAAAAAGAGAGAGAGAGAGAGAGAGAGGACTATCAAAATTTTATCGAGTCTTATTTTTTCCGATGAAGTTTCATTTTTTATATTTTTCGAATTCAAAGTGAATTTGTTCACGGAAAAAACTTGTTCGATGTTGAATTAAATTTTTCTCTCTCTCTTTTTTTTTTTTTTTTAATTTTGTCCTTCACGATTTTTACGTGCATTAGGTAGGATAATAATTCTTTTGAAAATTGATTACATCGACGAAGCTTACGTGAGAGAAAACGCAGTGGCGGTCGTACGATTTCACGAGCTAGCTAATCGTAGATAATAACGTGATAAAACTCTGAACGAACTTCTCTCTTTCTCTCTCTCTCTTCTCGTGATCAATCATAAATCGTTGGACGGGTCGCGAATTCGCTCCGGTGATACTTTATTCTTATCCATTCGGAATCACTTACCACTCTGCTAACTGGATTTATCTAGCGGTTATACCGAACTTTTTATTCCCTCGAATGTACGATAACTCGGCACAGTTCGCACCCGAAGAGAAAGGGATGGAGAGGGAGAGGGAAAGGGAGAAAGAGAATGAGAAGAGAGGAAGGGAAGAGGTGAAAGATCAACAAGAAATTCGGGAGTAAACTCGAAATTTCCTGACGATAGCGCGAACCTCCAATAAAGCAACGTAATTCTAGTCTCCCGAATGAGGAAAAAGAAGATGAAAAAAAAAAAAAAATAAAGAAAGGAAAAAACCTTAAAGAAAAAAGAAATAGAGAGAAAGAGAGAGAGATAAAGAAAGAAAGAAAGAAAGAAAGAGAGAGAGAGAGAAAAGATGAACAAGGCAGAGATAACACGCGGTCAGAAATAAGAAATGGGGGGCAACGATATTAGAGTTTTACGATGCTTTCTTCTTTTCGTATTTTCTCTCTCTCTCTCTCATTCTTACTTTCTTTCTCTCATTCTCTTCTCCTTTATCTTTCGTCTTCCTTTTCTAATTTTCTCTTTCCTATTCTTTCTTTTTCTATTTCTTTTTCTTCTTTTCTTTTCTTACTTTCCATTGTTTCTTTCTCTGTTTCTCTTCGGGGCTCTTCTTCAACCATAGAAAGAAGTTTCCACTTTTCCTCCGGTTTATGGCGAATGGTTTCTTCGTTGATGTCGACGATGAAACTCGAATGTACGTAACTCTTACACCCTTAAATAACGAGAATGCTTGAAGTTTCGTTGGCACCGGCTACTCCTGGTGCGCGCCAATATTCCACCACGACTAAATTCATGCTAGAAACGTTCTAAGTGGACATTAGCTCTCTCCTTTTCGTACCTACCCTCTTTCTCGGTTCTTTTTCCTTTTTCATTTTCTTTTTCTTTCTTTTCCTTTTTCTTTTTCGCTCAATGATATATTTATAGAAGATTACCAGACACAAACGACGAACGTTCATAAAAATTTTATTTCTCAGCTTTACGGCACTTTTTTTTTTCTTTCCTTAAAGTACAAAGTTTACTTTTTAGATATTTTTCCTTTTTCTATCCATTTGTCGTTCTTATGTATAATATATACATCTATATAAGTATAAATATATATGATCTATGTATATATATGTCTGTCATAATTTTTAATTTTTATTACGAATGTTTTTAAGTGTTCAAAATATTTTTATTTTAAATTTATACGTTTCTATGATTTTTTATTGTATTCTATTGAAAAAAGAAGTCGTTTCTTTTTCGTACGATTTTCTGGAATATTGAAATTAAAAGATGTCCAAGATTGCTCCCGTTTTGTAAGTTATACCGACTTTCATTAGATAACGTAGAATGTAACGGCCACGTTAAATGAAGTAGAAACTTTCCTAACGAGTTTTATTGGATATATTTCTCTTACGTAGATATTGTTCTACGCTGTAGGTATGTATATATATATATATATGTGTATAGTAAAGTATATAGATATATATACATACATACATATATATACCCGTATTGCTTTGTAACACCTTACAAAAGATACTGTTAAAGTATCTTGTCTGTAAAATATCTAC